CGATCTACCTTAGAATTAATACGAAGCTTATAACTATTATCAATTATAAAGATTACAAAGATTATAAAGATTATAAAGATTACAAATATTACAAAGATTACAAAGATTAGTAATTAATAATATTATATTATTAATATAAAGATATAACTTTATTATGTAATGTACCTTAACGTTCTATCTGCACTAAAAATGTTGCGATGTTGTTGAGTTGGTGAGAAGAATGGCCCTACATCTTGTGAGAATCCTAATGTATCGGTCCTACGTTTCCTAACTGTTCCAGCCTGAAATGGTGTGGCATGAAATGATGTAGTTGTGAATGTTGGTCGATTATCTATAACTTTACGATCTGATGCAGGATTAGACGTGTTTGTGTTGTTGCTTGGAGAACTGGTCGGTCGAGGGGTTGATTGAGATTGTGTAGTAATTGGCACATAACTAATTAATATAATAAATTAAGCATTAAATGATTAGCCGATTATTCTGGTGATAGATGATCTGCACTACCCAAAAATTGTGAATGAATCTTGTGATGTTCATTCATATGAACATTGAAGAAGAATATTGTGTAAAAATTCAAAGAAACTATGTGTAAGGTAACACGCGGCGGGAAGAAACATCAACTTGCATAACAACCCTTTTTGTACCTTGGTACAAAAAAAAAACGCGAGCAATACTTTTATAAAAGTACACGGCGCAAGGGCTGAACCCTTTTTAAATAAAACGTGGTTTTTTACTTACATTTGGGAATGCAATTGACCTTGGCCAGCTGGTCCATCATATGGAAAGGGCTGCATAAAGTTTTCTGCTGGCATACCACTCATTTGTGGTGACATTACAGAATGTGGATGGTGAGGTGAAGGTGGAACTTGAGATTGTTGAATAGACCACTTTTCTTCAGTAATATTCATATTATTATTAAAAACTTGTGTCGAGTATTCCTTATGAAAACGTTAGAGTTATCGCAAATTTGTAGTGTTTAGAAAGTGGGCGATGAACAGGTATCTCCAGAGCTGAAAATTTATATAAGTATCGGTTGTACAAAAATTTTTATTAATTCGAATTCAATTATCAATCTTAATGCATCTGATATTTCAATATTGAAGCGAGAATATATATTTAAAGAGCATACATTTCTATTCCTCGAGAAAACAGTTTCGCAATTAATAATTTAAATTTTTTCGTTGCAATTATTTACACTGACGCTATTAAAAAAATAGGATAGCTTGTACCTGGATCCCTTGGTGAGCGGGGAAAAAAGTGGTGAAATGTTTAATACTTTGAAGGCGCACAAGTTAACCTTTTTTGCTCAAGAGACGTTTGCCCAAAAAACCTCCCGACCATAATCTCACTTTATATATTATTATTGTAAAGGTAACAAGAGTAACCAATGGTAGATAAGCTAGAATTTGTGGGATAAATATGTAAATTAGAAAGTTCTCAAACCAAGTTCTCACTTCCAAATAAGTATTGCATCGATGCACAAAAAAATCAAAATTTTATAATTTAATCTGTATAAAAAAAACTGATAGTGTGATTAATGCTTTACGCTTGTCTGCGTGACCAACTGCACTACAAACGAAACCTTCTTTTGATTTAATTAAAATTATAAAGTGTGTGTTGTACAAATGCATGTCCAAAAACTTATATCAATGTGACTATATATTTTATATTAACTCGTGTATCCACATGATAAAATCACATCTTAACATGGGTGGTTATCTTTGAATATTAATTGGCTAACTTATTCAATCATTTTATTTGTACATTAAATATCGTGATTATTTTGTGTACAAAAATCTAGACCGGAAGCGATCGACTTAAAATAAGTTAATTTAGCAAAAAAAAAGGACGACTTATACATATGATTAATATCAAACTATCGCTATTTGTTTTTTATACATTGAATTTTTAATTAATTTTTGTTTATAGATAATTCCTGTGTATAATTAATTGTTTTGTAAAAAAAAATAAAATAAAAATAATAAATTAAATGTTTTTTAATTAATTTTTTTTGTTAATTAAAAATATAATAAAATTTTTAATTTATATTACAGGTTTAAAATTACAATTTACAGTAGTATATAATATTTAATATACTATATTATATATGCTATATATTATGTTTACTATATATAGTATTTTTAAAAAAATTATTTAGGAAAGATATATTTATAATACTATATTATATAACACTCTATTATTAAACTATATATTTACTTAATCTAAAACTCTAATCCTAATTTAGACCAATACATATTTTACTAAAGGCGTTATATAACATTGTTATTATACTGTATATGAATATAATTTTTTATTTACAGTATTTATTATCTAAATAAATATTTTATTTATTTTTTAAAAATATATTATATAGTAATTAGAGCATTTCTAATTTACACCACAGGTGATTATCACCTGTAGTAAAATTATCTTAAAATCTTGCTTATGAAACCACTTTTAAGGCTCTAAGTAAAAAAATTCCTTGTGAAATTTTACTATAAACCTTACTGAACTCTAACCCTAATGTGAGCTCTAACCCTTACCTTAAAGTCTCAAAAAAAACAAATTTTTATTTATTAAATTGTTTATTTATTTGTTTATATTACCCGAAATTATATACTGTAAATCACAGGTGATCATCACCTGTGATGTATATTAGTTATTTTCTATAATTAATATAGTTAAATTAAAAATATAATAATATATACTATATATAAAATTAAGATTTTATAATTTATTACAGATATAATATATTGTATCTTTTCAAAAATCGACAAAACAAATATTCAAGGTTTACTCGAGAAACAGCCTAATTAACAGCTTTTGGAAGACTAAGGAAAAAGGTTCAGCAAGTTAAAGAGCTATAACTTACTTAGAACAACAGTTAGCAAAGCACTGAGCTGAGACTAAGCAAAAGTCTTTTGCGAAAATTTTTCAAATTTTTTCGAAAAATTAGGAAATTGCTTTTACCCCCGAAAATCCAAATAAGAACAACACGTGATTGAGATTCACGGCAACAAAACAAACAAATAAACAAACACATATGTTTTAGGAATACGTGACGGTACAACAAATCAGATAAAGTAAACAAAAGGAAATATTGCACGTTCAAACTAAACAAAGCAAATACAAATAGATAGAAATTTCTAGAAACTGATAGAATCTGATAGAAGATTATCAGGAGTAGATGGTTTCTTTGAATTGGTGTATGTGGTATCTGAAAAAGTACTTAGATATTTAAATAGTAGTGACTTAGTAAAAATTCTTCGTATATCCCACCTATATAAACCAGATGAGATAGATGCTTTTGCTAAGGATCTTATAGTACAAGACCCAAACAAAATTACAGCATATAAAATGATTTTATACGGTCAAATCCGAGATGCACTCAGAAAAGCAGAGAATTATTTACAAGAAGACACAATTCAGCAATGGGCAGTTGGAGCTAGAATAGCAAGAACGAACCCATCATCAATAGAATATATTACAAGCATGAGTGAAGAAGAAATTAAGAAAGAAGAAAGTAAAATGGAAGGAATAGAGAAGTTTGGTCTGGTAGAGAAACCACTGTCACTTGGTCCAAAAAAAAGAAGCTCTCCTGAAGAAGAAGTCAAAGCAGATAAAGATATAAATCAGGTTATCGAACAGATGCAAGACTTGAACATTAAAACTGAACAACAAGTGGTATCAGACTTTGATTTAGCAGGCGTAGTGCAAGCTGCATCGCAGGTAGCCTCTTTACAACATCAAACAAGCAATCAAGACAAAGAATCTATGAAAGATTTAGAAGGAGAGAACAATAAAGAGAGCAAAACAATAGGAGGAAAAAGAATTAAAAAAGATAAAGAAGCTTCAATTGAAAGCATTCTAAAGGATACAATCTTATAATACAAAAAAAAAACGAAAATCATCGAAGCACAGTTGAATAGTACTCAGATAGAGGAGAGTAGTCCACAGGTCTTCACAGCTACTTTAGAGCAAAGTATCTGGTCACCAGAAAACAGATCATGTGAAGATGGGCAACTATTTCTGGCAAATGTGCCAGTATACAGTCTTCCAGGAAGCTCAGCAGAAGAAAGAGCTGGGTATGTTAAAAGAATTCTTAGTAAGAATAAACATATCAAGAAAGTCAAAGAAAAATTCAAGAACAGAAACCTTTGGGTAGAAGTAGCCTTTGACTGCAACTTTGGAAGAAACTCGGCAATTGAAAGAATTAAGAGAAAAGAAGCCAACTGGTTGATTTTAATCCCAGAGGAAAGAAAAGATCCCAAAGCGAAACGAGGGAGTCAAGACAAGAAGTTAAAGGGAAAACAGTATCCTTATAAAAGAAATGAAAACTTTGGAAAAGAAATGGTAAACAAAGGGAAAAACAATTTTAGCAACAGTGAAGATTCTTTAGAAAAGAAGGATCAAACAACAAGAAAAAGATACGATCATGAAAGACATATAAATATAGACTGCATCACAGTCTGAGATTTACCAGCAGACATAAAGACACAAGAAATCAAGTATATGTGTAAAAAATTAGGAAAAATAGAAGATATGTATATTAAGCGTAGAAATGGCAGAGCGTTAGCAGTAATAGAGTTTGCTACAAAGATAGAGGATAAAGATATACCCTGGGCCCTTCCAATAGGTGATGAAAGATTAGCTAGAGTATCAAAAGGAAAAGAAGATTACAAAGAAAGAGATCAAAGACATAAATTTGTAGCAAAATTAACTGGAATTACTGAAGAACTCTCAGAAACCCTTCTTCTTAGACATCTGAAAGACAGAAAGGCTAAAGTGGTCTATATCTCTAAAAGGAGAAGTGGTTTTATGAAGCAAATAGCAAAAGTAACTTTTGTTACAGAAAAAGAAATGAGAGAAGCGCAGAATAAGTCAGTAAAATATAATAACTTACAACTTGTCTGGCTACAAAGTGGACAAAGAAAGAATGTGGAGGAGGAAAGTAGTTCAAAAGAGAGAGGAAGTTACAATAACAGCTCAAGAGGAAGAAAACAAGTATACGATAAGGAGAAGATCTCATCAAGAGAAAGAAAATATAACAGAAGAACGTTCTCAGTAAATGGAAGAGACCGAACACCAGATAGAAAAGATGTTAGTCGAGGCGAAGGAAGTAGTTGGAGAAATAAAAGTGAAGACTCTAACAAAAAAAGAGAATCAAGAAGCTCAAGCTATAAGTATTTTGCTGAAAAAAGAAGTTTAGTGGCAAGAATTGATGAACATCATACAATGTTGCAAGAGATCATGTAATACCTAAAAAAACTTAGTGAGCAGCCTTTGGCTGCTCAACGCTCCTAAATTTAGGAGCAATAGTTGAATTAAAGAGAAATGGCGAAGGATCTAAGCCTTTCTGCAAATAAATATGCAAAGGAACATTAATCAGGAGAATTTTATCCTTTGTCCATTGAACATTACAGATAGCAGAAAAGGAAAGAAAGTTATGAATAAAGGAGAATTAGAACTAGAGAAAAATAGAAATATTAGATATATAGCAAGTGAAGACTATAGTAACCAAACAAAGGAACTTAATATTACAACACATAACATTAATAGCATTAAAAGCAATGCCCACAAATTAGAATTTGCTCTTGAATGGGCATCAGATAACAAAATAGATATTCTGGGTATAATAAGCAGTATGCACCAAATTTTAAGTAACTCTGCTTTTGTTGAATATGGCCAATTTATTGCTCCAAAATAATCTTTATCGATTACTTCTCTCTTTTCTTTATCTACAAGTACCCAGTTTGCTCCCATTCTGTCTGATTCTGACTGAGATCATCTTCTACTATTTCTTAATGATCCATCAGTATAAAATTTGAACTGTGTCAGGGAGCACTCTTGTAATTTTCTATTTTTCTCCAACAAAAAGTCCTGCATTTCTTGCCTAATTTGCTGTTTC